CAAAAAAGGTTGAAAAACACTGGTCTATTACATAAAATCCCAATAAAATACATTTACATTTTTGGTTGTACCATGACAAAATGCGATGTGGAAAATTTCAAAAGGTATGAGTACTCTCTTAAGGCACTATATGAACTTTTAAAGTCCAGCTCCATGCAAAACCGTTAATTAAATTTTTGAGAGAGTGGGAAAGAGTTAGAGCCCTTGCTTGTGTTTTATTGCCATGTGTGTACCCATTGAGGAGATTTTCTCTCAATTTACTTCCTACATGATTAGCTATCTCTCCAAGACGGATAGAAACTGCACCAAACCATGTTTGTTTAGTAGTTTGTAAAGGGTTAGAAGCTCCTTAACACTCCTGTATCTACCTGTCTCACCCCATCACCCGTCGCTGTGAGGCCAGACCACATTAAAAACCTAAAAAATCTTTAACATATCCCCATTTTATCCAGTAATAAAAAATTGGATAGAGTTGGCCTTTAATGAGACATTTATTTGCAATGTACTTACATCAGGTGCAGTGCATATGTTTGTAGACTTTTCACTGTAAACATCAGATATATCAGACATGCCCTGGGACTATATGGTATTCACTCTTTTTAAACTTAAAATATATTCAGGTGTGGCAAAAGCATGCATTACTAGTACATGAAAAATTTGTTAATGGCCCCCTTCTGACCTGTAAAATGCCTTTTACCATATTTGCATTAACAGATGGCAGTTTATGCGCAGCAGTGCCATTCATTTAGACTAATACCCCATTGCATAACTGCAGTGACAGGTGGTGCACTGTATTGAAAAAATAGTCATGATTATTTTCTTTTGGCCATTAATTTGAGTTGGCATCCCATTCTAAATTAATTGATTTCCATAATTCAACACCTAAAGGGTCCCAAAGACTTGGTAAACCCAAAAAGTATGTTTTAGGTATAGATGAAGCCTGGTAGGCTGAGCCAGCCCCTGGCTTCTTGTATGTCTTTTATCTCCCTGCTATAATTCAGATTTTGTTCCTGTTCATCTTTAATTTTTGGTGTTCCCACCCACATTTGTGTACTACAGCAGCTCCTGATGCATGCTCCATAATATAACACAGCAAGTGTGCAGACCAAAAACTGTTTTTACAAAAAAAGGTGTTTTAACGTAAAAGGAAGTACAAAACATTGTAACAGATATGCAATGCAAACATTTGACATGGTAGTGATTAGTACAAAACAGATAAGCCTTAACAAAATATTGCACAACATCCAATGTAGGACAAAAGGAAGGAAGGAGAAAAGTGAACTGCATACAACAATCATGGAAATCAGTCTAATATTGCCTCATAGAGGCAGTGTGAGGGGAAAACCCAATGGTGTAATGCGCAGAAACCAAATATCCATAGAAGTAGAAAAGGGAAGGGGGGGGGGGGCGTAGAAGAGGATGGAAAGAGGGAAAGGGAAGGGGGGGGAGGAGGAAAAGGAAAAGGAGGAGGGAAGGGAGAAGCTACCATAAGTCCCCACTAAAAACCCTAGCAAACAGTAATGGGCCATACCTTATATTTTCAAGGACATCCCCTATTAATAAAGGTCAGCTTGTACGTTGGCATCCACAGCCAATTCCCAGGATGACGTCACTGGGAGATCCCCAGAGTTCCATTTTAATAGGATCTCTCTTTTGGCATAATGAAGTAGATATAAGATCAGCAACTTCAAATGGTGGGATCGTTGTACATCATCATGAAGCCCCAACAATGCTAAGGCAGATGAAAGTGTTAAGGACAGCTGCAGCCATACATTAATCAAATCAAAAACATCTGAACAAAACAATACAATTCTAGGACATGTTCAAAACGTGTAGAAAGGTACCTGGGTGTAACCAACAGCTAGGACAGGTAGGGTCTTGCTCTGGGTACATCTGGGAGAGCCTGAAGGGAGTAAAATAGACCCTATGTAGAAATTTGACCTGTATGAGTTTGTCCCTGGAGGAGACACCCAACCTAGGAACCTGTTCTAGAGCCTCCGCCCCATCCTCCTCTTCCAGAGAAGGAATATTTTTTCTTTCTATATAGCCCATAATTTCTCAATCTTAGGGGAATTAACACAAAGCAACATTCTATAGAGGGCAAACAGTGGTTTTCGGAGGTCTTCCTCAACAGCTTCTCAATAGGGTCTACCTGGAGGATAGGTGGTTGTGGGAATTGAGCCCTGGCTGCATGTCGCAGTTGGGAATAGCAGAAGAACATCTTCTGTGGGAGATGAAACTTCAGGGAAAGCTGAGACAATGATGACACCCCAGAGTGCATACCATCAGCCAGGGTTCTAACACCATATCTGGCCCAAAGGTGTGGGTCTGAAATGAAACGAAAATGTGGGAGTGCAGGATTCCCCCAAAGGACTAAAAATTTTTAAATGATTCTCAAGGCACAATTTTTATTTTTTTAAAATAACAAACATGTCATACATACCTGCTGTATTCAATAGTTTTGCACAGAGAAGCCTCAGTCCTCTTCTAGAGTCACCCTCCAGCAATCCTGGCTCCTTCCCTGCCAATTGCTCCCATAACCAGCTGCTTCCTATGGGGGTGCTCGTGGGTGCTCACTTCTGAGCCTGCTCGGTGTGTCCAAATAATAGAGTGTGGCTCAGCTGCGCCCCCCTCTCTCTCCTCACTGACTGTGATTGACAGCAGCAGGAGCCAAAGACTGTCACCTCTCTGTCCAGTGAGGAAAGAGAGAGCCCAGAGAGATGCTGCCATTATGCATATCATTGGATCAAGATTTGGCTCGATTAATGGAAAGGGGTGGGGGACTGCATGCAGAAAGTTTTTTTACCCTAATGCTGAGAATGCATTAAGCTAAAAAGCCTTCTGCCTCTACAACTACTTTGTGCAGATATACAGTTAGGTCCAGATATATTTGGACACAGGCACAATTTTTGTTTTGTTTCAGGTATTTACCAAAACATATTCAAGCTATAGTTATATGGGCAGAAAGTGCACTCGCAGGGTTAATTTGTGGTTATGTACATCCAAATTGAAGGAAGAGTTTAGGAATTGCAGCTCTTAAGAGTAGCCATCCCCCTTTTTCAAGGGACCAAAAGTAATTGGACAATTAAATCAAGAGCTGTTTCATGGCCAGGTGTGGGCTACTCCTTCATTATTTCTTCATCCCTTAAGCAGGTAAAAGGTCTGGAGTTGATTCTAAGTGAGGTATTTGCATCTAGAATCTATTGCTGTGAACCTACATCATATGTTCAAAGGAGCTGTCCATGCAAGTGAAACAGGCCATGGTAAGGCTTCAAAAAATTAAACAATTCCATCAGAGAGATAGCAGCAACATTAGGAGTGGCCAAATCAACAGTTTGGTACATTCTGAGGAAAGAAGAATGCACTGGTGAGCTCGGCAACATAAAAAGGCATAGATGATCGCAGAATCCTCTCTATGGTAAAGAAAAACCCATTCACAACATCCAGACAAGTGAAAGACACTCTACAGGAGGTGGGCGTATCATTGTCAAAGTCTACAATCAAGGGGAGACTTCGCGTGAGCAAATACAGAGGGTTCTCCACAAGGTGCAAAGCCTGAAGAACAAAAAAGCCAGATTAGACTTTGCCAAAAAAACATCTATAAAAGCCAGAGCAGTTCTGGAAAAGCATTCTTTGGATGGCTGAATCTAAGATTAATCTGTACCCGAATGACGGGAAGAAAAAAAAGTGTGAAGAAGGCTTGGAACAGCTCATGATCCAAAGCACACAACGTCATCTCTAAAACATGGTGGAGGCAGTGTGATGGCATGGGCATGCATGGCTTGCAGTGGCACTGGGTCATTGGTGTTTATTGATGATATGAATGAAGACAGAAGCAGCCAGATTAATTCTGAAGTGTTTAGAAATATACTGTCAGCCCAGATTTAGCCAAATGCAGCAAATTTGATTGGACGGTGCTTCACAGTACAGATGGCCAATGATCCAAAACACACTGCAAAAGCAACCCAGGAGCTTTTGAAGGAAAAAAAAAGTTTAATATTTTGCAATGGCCGAGTCAGTCATCTGATCTCAACCCAATTGGGCATGCATTTCACTTGCTGAAGGCAAAACTAAAGGCAGAAAGTCCCACAAAGAACTGAAGACCGCTGCAGTTAGAGCCTGGCAAAGCATCAGAAAGGAGGAAATCCAGTCTTTGGAAATGTTCATGGGTTCCAGACTTCAGGCAGTCATTGCCAGTAAAGGATTCTCAACAAAATATTAAAAATGAACATTTTATTTATGATTATATTCATTTGTCCAATTACATTTGAGCCTCTAAAAATGGAGGGACTGTGTATAAAAATGATTGCAGTTCCTAAAATATGTACTTGATATTTATGTTCAACCCCTTGAATGCACTTCAAATTCATTTGGATTGTTTCGTTTTCATTTATGCTGGTGGCATACAGAGCCAAAAGTATGATTATTGTGCCTGTGTCCAAATATATATCGACCTAACTGTATGCTCATTAAAGGTCTTGAAAGATCAAATAAATTGCTAGATGGTATAACATTATAGAACAACCACCAAAAACTAAAATATCAAGTTCAGGTGGGCTGACCTTTTGAACCATATTATACAATATGTGTTTGATTGTAAAGTAAGTCTAACATATCATACAGAAACATTGTATCATCGAGAAGGCACCACTTCGTTTTAATGCTGCAATTGCCAAGCTCTCAGTAGTGGGTAATTGACAGTTCTAGTGATTTGTACTTTTCATTCTGAGCACAATGATGTTGAATAATATTCGCCATTGACCAACGAGCGGTATGGCTCTCTTCTGTTACTTCACGGTTGTCTGCAAAGTGCTGCACCTCGATTGATATTAGCAGTATGCTGTAAAATGAATCCAAAGTTTGGAAGACCCATGAACACGGGAAACATGTTGCAGTGTAACTGACTACAGGTTCAAGTGCTCTTATCTTAGTAACCGATTTCCTTTAAAATTGTCAGTCCAAAAATATATACTAATGGCAATACTGTCTTCTTTTATTAGAACACAGAGGTCCTCCATCTGGTTCAAATTCTGCAAGACAGAGCCCTGCTCCTCAGCATCGTGCCATGGGACAAGCGCAGCCGAATTATGGCACGTTAGACAGGTAAGGAAATGCCATGCTGACACAGTACTTCTATAAAACACTGGCACCTCTTACTTTATTAAAAGAGCGCTGCAGGCAAAACACAGAATTCAGCATTTTATACTGCAGAAGAAAATCTGCTTACCTAGTTCCTGTTTGAATGCGATGCTCAACAGAAAAACTAATGATCCACACCAGCTCCTAGGTTACTATATTTCCAAAGACCAGGAATTTCTTTGTATGTTCAGGACTATGATATTCTGTAAGCAAAAAAGCTGATCCTTTCTAATTTAACACTGAGATTAAGTAGAGCAACCAAGAACTTGGGTGCTAAAGATATGAAGGTCAAAACAGGATCTTCTGGAGCTCACATATTTAACAAAAACCAGATAGATGTAATCAGGCATTATATAGGTTTACACGTTTGTCTTGACTGAGGTTCTGCTTTTGAAGAGAAACAAACAGCTGCATGGAAAAAGTGAGGACTATGTTAGAAAGTCGACTGCTTGTTGAATGTACATGACCTGATGGACATGTCACAACTTTCTCATATCACAAAATTGAAATCCTGATGACCTTCTGAAGAAAGTAGTCTGTAGCTCAGGCAGAGTTACTGACATGTCCTTGTTCCTGACTGTCCTAAAGGTGACTAGTGAATTCAGTGCTCTGTCAATTTCATTTTCTTTGTGACTCGTGAAACATTGTAAAAGTAGTTATTTCTCCCTCAATAGGGGGTTTTTTTAGGTATTTTTTTTTTCTGTATGCTATATACCCAAAAAGCAAAAGTAAAGTTAGTCATAGCAGAATTAAACAAACACTAAAGACAGCACTCCTCAAAAAAAATATCTCTGAATATGCAGACTCTGCTGATTAATATTAGTGCAAAAAATAATATAAAATAATACACTACGTAATACCATCCAAAGCGAATAAAACAAAAAACTATATTGTGACTATTAGCTCTGTGACTACACATATAAATTAGTGTCCAACGAAAGTGTCCATATAAATAATAGTGTCTAGAGAAATTAGTGATTAAATAACTTTTCTTCAATGATTATTGTAATAAACTTCTATGAAATATAACCATATAACACGGTGAGAATCCACCACTGAAAGAAATGAGTACACTCACCAGAGCTCCATACTGGTAAAATTATAAACCAGTTACAAGCGCTTAAGTTCTGGGAGCAACAATCTGCAGAGGCACACACCAGCTGATTGAAACACCTTCAAATGACAATTGACTCTTCATATACTCAGAATGGGATCATAAAGGAAGAGAAAAGGAATCAACATAGTGTAAAACCATCCATGCATTTATTGAGTAAAAAGGTATCCTATACACTCACATATCACAGTGTCAAAGGCGACACTAGCACAAAATGCATATAACACTAAAGATCAAAGGTTTGCTCTGGTCTCAATGGATTTTGGCAGCACACCCAATGTGTTGACTTCACCTCCAAGGCCCTGTCCTATGTGTTTCGTCATCCGACATCCTCCAGGAGCGGAATTAACCTAACACCACTGTATTATGATGGAAAAAAACATTAACTGTCCAAATTTTATCTCTGCAATAAAAATATTCAATGTGAGCCCCATTGATGACAGATGTTGAGACGGTATTCCAATTCTGTCTAGACTTGTGTCAGCGTGTCCTTGGATATTGACTTCACTGCTTCTGTGATGCACCATCTCATATGGCATGGTGGGGACATACACAAAGTCCTTGTACCCCCATAGAAAGATGTCGCAGGGTGTTAGGTCTGATGATCATTAAGGCCAGAGCGACATTGTTCACCAGAATTGTTCACCAGAAAGCCTTCTCTTGCTTCGATGTCACCAATCTTGTGTACATACGACTACATTATGCCTTTGGTGATGATGACATGAACAAACACACAATAACTAGAGATCATAATTTTCAAAAATTGGCCATTTACCATTTTTGTCATGGGGCAAAAGTAAAAACTTGTAGTGAGAGTGACAACAGTAGTAAACGGCAATCATCTTTCGTGTCACCAGCAAGGCTCACATCAAACATTTGTAGTGCAGAGGTAAAACTTGGAAGTTAAAGTGGTTGTAAACCCTTACCTATGTCCAGTGCAGTGACTGGCCTCAGATGATATACAAAGATAAAACAAATCCTCCTTGTATCTTTTTATTTGTAGCCATGTGCCCTGTACATCCTTGTAAAGCTCAAAGATGAAAAGGACGTTTCACAGACTCATAAAGCAGGGGTTGGGGAGCTGCACTTACTATACTGTACAAGAGCTCTGAGAGCTGATTGGAGGGAAGGGACACACCTCCATCACACAGCACACAGGAACAGAGTTGAGGCTGTCAATCAGCTGGAGGTCCTTCCCCTGTCACCTTTTTTTCTCTGGGTGTCAGGGAAACTTGTCAGAAGTGACTCGTGCTAATAATAGAGGAACAAGGCAGCAGAGAGAGATCAAACTTTTCTTGCACATGCTTTGATTGCTTCTTTGCAGTGCTACACAGTTTTTGTGCCTTTCTGATCTGATCTTTCTCACAATACAAAATCTATGAGTTGAATTAATTATGAAAATAATGCACCACTGCCTGTGTAATTGACATCTCATCTCCACAGTTGAGAAAGTAGAAAGGGTACATAACACAAATGTTTAACTCCCCCCCGCATACATTTTTTCTGGCTAGTCTGTGTGTTCTGTGTGGTCAACAATGGAGCTGAGTCCCACAGAGCAGTGATGTAACCTGCCAGCATTGTTCACCAGGAGAGAGTTGATACCCACCTGCCGCAGAAAAAAAAGGATTGAGCTGAAGCTTTGTGGTCATAAGACTTCATATAAAAACACTTAAATATTGTATTTAGGTATTGGTTTGGTAGAAAATTTATGTGGGAAGTAGCAGCAATGCCAAAGCAACATTTAACATGTGGGTTATTGTGTAGAATTTCCATCTACTTTAAGCAGGTAGGCAGAGCGATTGCAGAATAGGCTAGCGGCTGATTTCACTGTTCAACAGGTAAAAAGTTTTGGGCATAAAATTAGCTAATCTTACATAATTTTGGGGTGCTGAAAACGAAAATGACCCTAAAAAGTGTTGATTGGCTCTAGTTTCCATGATATATTCACCCATCTAATGATGTAAGCCATTCAAAATTATGATGCAACTTCAGCTGCATATTGCGCAATTGATACTGGTGACCAATAGAAAATTGCATGTATACTGAGATGATGCAATATTAGCCTTTAATTGCATCACTTCACTGCATAAAAGCTGCAGTATCTGTAGCTGATTGTAGTTCGACAGCGTCTTTACATTTCATTTTATGCTTATATAGGCTACTCAGTAATGCCTCGAACTTGTGTGAATAAAGCAGATAATTTCTGCTATATCTGCGGTGAAATAACTTTTATCTCACAAAAAAGGAGGATAACAGGAATGATTAAGAAAGCCTACAACTTGTATTTTAGCTGCAAGATAGGAGACCAGGACAAGAGCTGGGCACCACATATATGCTGCAATTCTTGTGGGACGGCACTGGAGCAATGGTTGAATGGAAAAAATGCATCTATGCCTTTCGCTGTGCCAATGATTTGGAGAGAGCCAACAGATCATGTTAGAAATTGTTACTTTTGTATGGTGCCTCCAATTGTAAAAGGGCTAAATAAGAAAAAGTTATCTGTGCACTATCCAAATATTCCATCGGCAATACGTCCAGTTCCTCATGGAGAGGGGCTACCAATTCCTAAAGCACCAGAATCCTTCGTGGTTGAGTCAAGTGAGGAAGAACCTGAAGCGTGTAGTCACGTGCAGTTGTAAGAGATAGCCCTTTCCTCGAATACAAGAGAAAAGCCAAGAGAAGCAAAACCGACACAAACTGAAGACAAAACTAGTGAGAATCCGAAGTATTAAAATGATTCAACTTAGCTTATGGCTATAATTTTTCTTGGTAATCCTATGCAATATATTATGCCATTTAGGCTTTGTTATGTAGTCAATATCACTTGCTTTATATTTGTGGAAAGACATCTATCTATATAATTATTGTGCATTATGTAGTCATTACGCCTATAGTAGAAAACTTTCCGTTTACAGAAAAACTAGAGCCAATTGACAAATTTCATTGTTATATTTGAACTCAGAATGTGAAATTCATTAAGAAATGGATCCTTTTGTTTCCAAAACTGGCAAAAAATAAAAATTTGTTGAACAGTGTTTTCAATCACAATATTTATTAATATAACAATAATATGAAAGGACAAGGATGTTTAAACTGTCAAGTCTCAGCAAAAATTTCTTGGTGGTAAACACTGCGAGAACGATTCAAAATATGTGATCAGATAAAATAAACTATACTTTCCACTAAAGTATCGGCTTTCTTCAATGTATGATTGAATTATTGTTTTCTTGGCTAGGAGAGTTAGCATGTCTCTTCTTGTCCAGGATCTTCGACTTTAAATCATAGAGTATGAATTTTGGAATGTGATTTTTTTTTTTTTTTCCAGAAACACCTTGGATGCAGACAGCAGTAAAGGAGATCCCTCTGCCGCATATAGGTTCTTATGGACAGATCACAAACCTGATGCTGTACATACCTTGCCTGCAGGAGGCAGGCACTCACAGGTGGGGTTTGATGGAAAACTTTATTTACTGTAGAACCAAAGTTTACATACTTAGGAAAGATTAGTTCTTCCATATTAGATTGTTGGGTCTTCTGCTTGTTGTTTCATTCTGTGGTTGTAGAAACTTTTACCACCATGAAATGACATTCTCTCTTCAAAAATGATATCAGTGGGAAATATGTAGGTTGTTCATATGACTACTCTACTCTCTGCAGCCTGTGCATCAGATTTACCTTAAAGTGGTCAGAAGATTGAGCCTGGTAGGGCTTTTTTTGAATAGCAAGTGTTTTCAACCTCCAAAAAAACGCATCCTTCTTTTTTTTAAACTAGTAAATAAGATGTTTTTCTGGGTGTGCCAATTCTGGTAGTCAAATCAAAAGCTGTAGAGCCCAAGAGGACAGTTTAGAGAGCA